TTTAAAATCACCACTGCTCTCAGAGCAATGACGTACGTCTATAATCTTGGAACCTCTATCTGTAACAGTTACTCGTCATACTAAGTATGCACCTAATACACTATTGGATACTATCATACACCCTTTTTCTATTATTCAGATGGCGTCAATCTCATATGAATGAGCAAGTGATTAAAGAGCATTGTGAATATCATTACTATTAATATTATAAAATGAAAAATTATGACACAAAAAAGAGGATTCGGTAGTCCTGCATCATTGCAGTGCGTAATGTCCCTGGTCAAAGACCAATCAGCTAGAACTGACCAGTCCCAAATGTTAAATGAACTTGAGCAATAGCGAGAAAGAATCTGGCAGCAGATTCCCCCTGCTCGTTGTTCAACAACCAGACTCTCTGCATCAAATACATGTGATCTTTCACTTGCGTCGACGGTGTCAGTCGGTTATCAGCGCGGAAGATGGTAACAGGCGGTACTGATTTTGTGAATTTGGAAATAAAAGGGCTCAACTTGTGATGGATATTTTTATGCAGAAATAAAACGCTTCAATAAAAAATATATTATCCCAACGACTTCTTCTTTGATGTAGAAATCTATGTGTGGTCTAGAAAAGGAATGGATTCTCTAAGGAAAATTGGTTTGCAAGTCTAGAAAAGGAATGGATTCTCTAAGGAAAATTGGTTTGCAAGTATAATATTAGATTTCAAAGCCTACTTTTTTCGTGTGTGTATATATATATATATATATTATATATATATAAATATATATATATATATATATATATATATTATATGTGTGTGTGTGTGTGTGTGTGTGTGTGTGTGTGTGTGTGTGTGTGTGTGTGTGTGTACATTACATTTTTTTGTTTCTGGCTTTTTGGGGTGAGGGAAGAGCGGAGGGGGAGGGTTGTTTTTGAAAAGGGAGGGGGTTGTTGTCCGGCTGGAGTGACAGATTGGATGGAGAAGAAAAGGGTGGGAAACCATTCGATGTGTAGTGGGTACAAACATGTATAATCAATGTGGGAGCACTGGTTCTTAGGTAGTGATTTAACAGCAACGCGAGGGACAATGTGGGGTTGTGGGAGATGGGAGGGGTGTGAACGTGGTAGGATTAAGGGGGGAGGGGGGTGCGTTCAACAAACGCTGTCAGATGGGGAGAGCTGGGAAGGAGTAACAATCCTATATAAATCAGGGAATACTTAGGCTTAACACGGAAACACAAAGATCTAAGCTTTCGCGTCAACACTGCCTACTAGTCTAGAGTATTACTTTCTGCATCTATGCGGTGACAGAGGCTAGTCTAGAGTATTACTTTCTGCATCTATGCGGTGACAGAGGAAGTACTTTTATTTCAGACGGTTTGTATCGCCTTTTGTGATTAGAGCCTGCTGCTCAAAGTTTGCACAATGGGGACACACCTGCCCATCTGGGCGCTGGTAGGTTACTCTGTTACATTTTTCTTCCATTCCCAACTCATGAACGTTTATTGGTTCCCTTTCTATTTACTATTCCATATTTTAGGGGGAAGCTGTAAATATGTTATGGTCAAGAGTATTATTAAGAATACCCGCAGTATTTCTCACTCATTTCGTTCTTACAAAATTTTGTTTCTGCTTCTTTCTGGCTGCAATTTTTTTTAAAATACAATCTGTGAACGATCTCGTAGGGACCTGTTGTTCCTATTTCAAATATTTTCTAGCCTGTATTCTTCTGAACGTTTGGGAGTATAATTTAGCATACTAGTATGCTGACTTTAAACAGATCGCATGTTCTACTTCTGCTTGTCTCTCCTTTTAATACTTTTTTAGAAGATCACTTCTGTAACGCCCGTGGTGGTCCTGTCCACATCAAAATAAAATGACGTTTCGATAGCTAACACAATGACACGCTTCATGTATATTACCTATTCTTTGTACAAAAATCTGTTCAAAATATTGCACCCTAATACACCAAGTTTTATTAAAAGAAACCGTGTCGGTACAGAAAATGTCGATCATTGTGACTACTGATTACACTAGTCGAGTCTTCATTTTGGAGGAAGAGTCAAACTAGTCAAAAGTAAGATTTAAACAAATGTCTTGAGACCTGTTTTAAGTATGATCAACATAGCACCTCTCTTAAATATTATTTGTGAGGATTACGTTTTATTTTCTTGTTATATAATGAGTCTAAAAGCTATGGAAGAACAGAGCTTTAAAAAATGTTGAAAAGCAGATGATTTTCTTTTTTCTGTTTATTTTATTGTTTGCCTTCCTTGTTTGGCCAAGGGAATGTATTAAATGAAGGGAAAAAATTAAAATACTTTTGTAATATACTTTTGGGTTATTGCTCAATTTTATGATAAGTTTCACGTTTAAAGTCAGGTTAAAAAAGAAATATAGAAAAAGCAGAAGATGCAAATTTAGGATAACTTAACCCTAACGAGCTGAGGACTATTGTAGTGAATCATTAAGTACGGGCAGGGCAAAGTAGTGCACAACTGGATAACATTAAAGATTAATTTATTTGGTTCTGATCCTTTCAAAAGCTCTTAACAGAGCCAATAGGACCAACAGAGTCATGGTTTTCTTTATTAGTCTTTTTTTGAAGGACCATTCATTTTGTTGATCTATTACCAAGATGATAAAATATGTTGCCAAATGTTCCACAGAAATAAAAAGGAGAGCTGCAATGGCTAAGGCTAGTTTCAATAAAATGAGCCCAATCATGAAAAATAGAAACATCTCAATGAACACCAAAATAAAAGTCCTGAAATGCTATGCTTGGTCAATCTTTCTATATGGCTGTGAATGCTGGACAATCACTAAAGACAGTGAAAATAAAATAGAAGCAACAGAAGTGTGGTTTCTTAGGAGGCTGCTAAGGAGTATCGTGGAAAGAAAGGAAATCAAATGAGGTAATGCTTGATGAAGCCCACGTGGGACGCTCAATGTTAAAAACAATTAGGAAGCGACAAATGCAGTTTTTGGGACACCTAAATAGACATAAGGGTCTTGAACATTTTGCTCTCACTGGCAAAATTGAGGGCAAGCGGGGCAGGGGTAAGCTCAGAACAACGTACTTAGGGAACCTAAACAAATGGGTAACAGGGAAAGATCAGTAAAACGTAGCTTTTTTTAGAGCATCCGAGCAAAGGAATGAATGGAAAACCAAGATTGCCGATGTCTGTCGCAGATCTGGCAATGAATGATGATGATTACCAAGAAGTGCCCAATCTCTAAAGAGTATTCAATCATAATGTATTAAAATGTATTCATGTTTTATGTATTGATTACAGGAAATATAATACCATTATCCTCCAATTCCGACTACCATGATACGTTTAACCATTATGTCTTTCCCAAGTACGACCTTTGGGACAGAAAACGTGAAGTTATTTTCACCTTTAGGGGTGTTATTTTTGAAATTGTTGAAAGAGGTTGCTTGTGTCCTGCATAGAATTCTTTCTTTCTGTGCGAGCATGTATGACTTTTCGATTATTAAAATATTATGTTTTTAACAATAATGTACATTACGAAAGCCAGTTTTTAACACTTTTTTGGTTTTGCATTTCCCCAACCTTCTGCAATACGAATTGTATTTATTATATTTTTTAGTACCCCGAGTACAATGTGTGCATATTTATAAACCAGAAGGATTTCGTATTTTCCAGATATCTCTGTTTGGGTGTTCGCTTCTCTTTGTGGCTGTTCACGTAAGTCGTAGCGTCTTTGTTCCAAAATACAGAGCATTTATTTATTTTTAAAGTAAAATTGCCTTTACCTATTACACTTCATCAAACTGTTCACTGTTTAAAAATAAGACTGCGACTTCACTATCTGATGAGATGATGTATCTTGCAGAGCCAGGGCTCGTCCTGAAAGGCTAGACTGAAGCAGCCCGCTCTCTAAACTGTGCTGTTTACTAGTCTATACCATATGACAATACAGTTGAATCAGTAAATATGCACTAGGTGAGTATCTGATCGATTAACAGACTCAAAAGAATCGATTGTCAAGTATTTTAGGAAATACTGCGCACTGTTTGTGAACGAAAACCTCACTTGTCTACAATGGCGCCTTAGAAGACGAACTGTCCGAAGATTATATCTAAACGAAACTAATGAAAAAGTGAAAGTTAAACAACAGTGACTTCAGTCTCTGTAATATAACGGTGCACCCTTTAAATGATTCTGAACCACCGTTATTTTCTTTCAAATTCGAACGTTAAATGGTTCGGAAGTTTTAGGCGACCAAAGTGACGAACTTTCACAAACATAATACATAGACGACAACTGGAGAGTAAAAAATCTTCCAGGTCTGCCAGGACCAGCTCAGAAAAAGATTTGATGTAATTCCATGCCATGCCCCCCCCTCCCCAAAAAAAAATTTAAAAATCCCTTGCTTTTACTCCTTTCACCTTTATTCTGATGCAACTGAAATAAAAGCTATAACACTAACTATTCTGCATTATTTTTTTCCAGCAATCTCGATTACACAATAGGGTTTATTTTAATACGTTTTGATACGGGGGGGGGG